GTGGCTCCAGGGAAAGTCAGCAAGTGGTGTCTTCATGTCTCTTTGCTACAAACAGGGTATGTCATTTCTTAGAAATGGACTGAGTACTCTGAGTGAATTAGTGGCAGAAAATAAATATTTTAGCAATGACTAGTGGGGAATCATGGAATAATATAAGCAGCTGTTTCCTTTTATTCTTGGAGGACACAAGCAAGAGATTGGATTTCCCAAAATAGTAACCTAAATGCTGTGTATTATTATCAGTTTTCATCAATATGTTATATCACTGTCTTTACATAAAGATCTTTAGGATAAAATATTCTTACAATATTAAGAGTCTTACTGTACAAGTTTGTTTCACTGGGCAAAACTTAAAATGATCATGTTGTATTCAGTTTTGCTGAGCATTTAGGGTCACTGACACATAGCTAGTAAAACACACAATCTGGAAATACTTATCAGTCAAGAGATTGGTTTCTTAATATACTTAAAACAGTGCATTACTTCAAGATTATAAACAAAGCAAGTAACATTTCTTTCTTCAAATCAGAAGCAGTAGCTAAGTTACTTTCATCTGATGCCATTATTGGTTTTTTTAAATATTTGTTTGAAAATCTATAGAGTTGTATTAATCACTATATTTTTAGAGGTCTTCAGAAATTCCACAATGTGATTTTTTTTTAAACGGTTTGAGAATTTTAGTTCAACGCTCAAAAACAAATTCTGCACGACTGTATTTTAAAACAAATTTTGCACTATTAAAATGCTCCAATAAATAATAACCTTGCTCACTGTCTATTATTGAACCACCAGCCTCAAAATGAGCATAGCCACCATTTTAAGTGATAGAAAGGTTTTGCTGTCAGTTCTGTAATCATCTCTGTGGAAATGCTGTTTTGTAATTTCTTAGAACAATACTTGTCAGTGAATCACATATCCCTATGTTTCCTACAGAGTCAGGACACAGCAGAAAGGCTATTCCTCCCCCAAAGATCCTCTCTTATGGAAGCAAATCACTGTTACAAAAAGCTGTGCTGCATAAGAACTTTAGTCATATAAAACCAAGGCCTTAGAAATACCTAATAGAGATTAGATAAACTAGGCTACACAGATATAAAAATATTATGGCAGCGTCACCTCATACAGGGGAATCAATACGTCAAGCAATGGGAACTAGATTATTTCATATTTACTTCAACAATTTATTATTATATTTATATGAACAACAGGCATCTATTCAACGCTCTAGCACCCCTGCCATAAATTACAAGAACAAATTACATTGATCTGTGACCAATATAAATGAACTACTCACATGTCACTATATCTCTATTGAAGGAAACAAAGAAATCCAAGAGACAAGACAGTGTTGAAGTGTGTATAAAAAGAAGGGGGGAGGAGGGAGGAGAGAAGCTAATTATAAATGATGTGTTTCAGAAAAAACAGTAACACAACTATTCACTAGCTTTACTGCTCACTCCTAAATCACAGAGTATATTTTCCAACAAACAATTTTTGTTTCTTTTGTAATGTTATTCGGAGGCCTGAATAGTATTAACAGTATTGCATTTGTAACTGGGTGACATCAGCTACTGGTAGCAACAGGACTGGAGAAAAAGAAAAAAAATCAAGTAGCCTTGAATTGTATTATCTGGTTCATTCTATGTAGAGCCAGTGGTAATGATCCTTAATAAAGAGTTACTGACACTCAAATGGTTCAATTTAACCAAAGCACAGAAAGTTGAGGGCTTTATGTAGAAACAAAAGTTTAAGAATTTTGTTTCTAGAACAGGATCTGTAGATGTGAAACCATAAATAAAATACAAATTGTTCTTTATATAGCACCTTTCATCTGAGGCTTTCAAAATGGGTTACAATCATTGACCAATATTGACAACATGCCTAAGAGATGGGTATATTTAAAATACCTCTTTATAGAATACTGCAACAAGAGTAGCTACTTCAAATACACATTTTTTTTTAGATTCAACTTTAAAAAAATTATGCCCATATAAAAGCATCATGACAATAATTAGATTTACAACACTAAATATACAAGTAAGTTAACTCTGCCAGCCAGCAGCCTTAGATAAATAAAGATAAATAATAATCTACTAGCTGAGATAAATTATTATTTGTATTACTGTGGTGCCTAGGATAAAAGTGGGAAAAAATCCAAAAAAGTCATTCAACCCTAATTTATAGCCAGTAACATACCCTTAACTTTACCCCACAAATGGTTTTGCAGCATTTCTGAAGGTAATCAAATTCAGGGTATTTTCAAAGGGTGTTTTTTTTCCATCCAAAGTCCAATGAGTCACTCAGTAACACAGGTTTTCTATGAAAAATCCTCTTATCAGAATTTATCAAAAATACCTCCGAAACCAAGACAAAGAACGATGTGTATTTGACTCCATATAACTGAGGACTGATTTCAAGAAAAGATTAAAAGTTGCATTCAAAGTGTAATTTTAACAAAGTATAATTTGAAACAGACCAGGTAATTCATGAAAAACAGGGTTTCTAATAGAAATTCTTACAGTATCACTATTAATGCCATAATATAACTTTGCAGTGAAGAAGACTGTTGCAAAACTTGGTGAAGTCTGAATCTCTTTTGCACCAGATCTGCACATGAGCAGAGCCACAACAGAATTTAAAACAGCTTTATTTTCTATCAGTAAATATATAATCTCTAATCATAATATGATTGAAAGGTACTTTGAATGAATGAATGAATGAATGAACTCATTGATTAGGAGCTTAAAGTCATGCCATCTGGCATGTTTGCAGCTACCACTAAAATTTACAATGAAGTATAACATTTGACTGAAAGTATTACAGTAATTTGAGCATTCTTAATATACATATTATATATGATGGCAGAGAATACTTCCATGGGTTCTTATAGAATTTTCTTTTCTTAAAGAGAAACTCACACTTCAGAGGCTGAAATGCTTGTAATAACTAATAGCTGAATGTTCAAGCTCCTGCATGGGTGCAATTTGTAAAGTTGCATGTAAAAAAGCCAAAAATGGCCAAGAACTTAAAAAATTGATGGTAGCAGACCACGAAACCTAGAGATGATTCAACCTGGTGATATTCTGAATAAAAACTGGGTAATTATCCCAGTGATAACCTAACCTGGTGATAATCTAAACAAAAGGCGCTCTCAAGCATACTTGAAGCTGTTTTCATTGCTTCCCACTGACCTAACATAATTTAAAGCCTTGACCCACATTAAACTTTTCTAGGGAATCTCCCAAGAAGCAGTAGCAACAGTGGGAGCCCTAGTGTAGATAGGACACTTGCATTCTTACACTGCATTATCTAGTACTATCCTGAGCAGGATTATATGATATAGTGATAAAAATGTAGGTACCTTGCCTACATACAAAACACAACATTGTAATTACACCAATGGTAGTGGAAAATTCCCCCCCCCCAAAAGGATGGCAATAGAGTAGACACCGCATCAGAGGGTAAACAATTTCCCCCAAGTCATGTAGCAAGTCAACAGCAAAAACAGAAACAAAATGCAGACCTTCTGATTCAGTCTCATGCTCTAGGCTACTCAGTTGTATTCCCTCTGAAAGAAAGTGTAAAATAAAGCAAACCTCCCCTAATTAACTTCTTTCAGCAAGTGCCAAGAATAAAACATTCTATTGAGAAAAATCTACCAAGAATCTGTAAACGGAATCAGCTTTGACAGTATAGCCACAGTAAGAGGCCACATTACTGCATTAGCTAGTTTCTAAATAATAACTAATCTGCATTACTTAGTTTCTAATTAATTAATGCACCTTAGCCATACTTATCTGTTAATACATTAGCAATCTGCATTTTGAATCATCAACAGAGGAAAGGAAAGGGTGTTAAAAAACTCAAAGAGTAACTACTCCTTCCACGCACACACCTCTTGGAAGCCCTACTTGAGACCATTATAAGAGAACAGGTTTATGAAATGCTCCTTCCAATTTAGAACAACTCTCCCGCCCCCCTCCACAAATGGGAAGGAAGTCCCATTGCTCCCTGTTCCATGTCTCTCCCAGCAATCATCACTTCCATAGCAGGGCTGGAGAAAACTCATCCTTGAGCCTGCAGGGATTTATCCCAGTCACACAACTGGGGATTCCATGGGTGTCACTCAGAAAAGAAACAGGCCCATTGTTTTCAGTTAACAAGGATGTGGTGGTGAATAAAGGGGGACCAGGAGGATGAAAGTGACTGGGTGGGGGTGGTGACGGGGGGGTGGGGTTTGAAAGACCAGGGAGAGGGAGGTGACTGGGGTAGAGGTGGGGGGGGGGGGGGGGGGGGGGGGGGGGACTAAGGGGGGGGGGAGGACGAGGGGGCGAGATAGAGGAGACGGGGAGAGCTGAAGAACTGAGGACCAAGGGGCTGAAAGAGGAGGGCAGGAGCGGGCTGAAGGACCGGGCAGCGGTGGAGGGCGGGGTCAGGAGACCGTTGGTTGGAGGACAGGCGGGGGAGATGGAGGGGGCTGAAGGACCGGGGGAAGTGGAGGGCGGGGTCAAGAGACCATTGGGTGGAGGACGGGCGGGGGAGATGGAGAGGACCGAGGACGGGGGTCAGGACGGGGCTGAAGGACCAGGGGGTCAGGACGGGGCGGGGATCACGGTGAACGGGGGAATCACCCCGGGCCCCTCTTACCCGCTCCGGGGCGGGGTTCCCTCCTTGCCGGCGCTTCCGGCCGCCTCCGCGAGCTAAACAAAAGCCTCCGCAGCGCCCCGGGAGCAGGGTCGCGACCCGCGGGCAAGCAGAGAGGCAGGAAGAAGGTGGTGACCGCTGCTCTGCGTCATAACATAGCGACCGAACGCTCCGTCAGGCCAAGCCGGGGCCTACAAATCCCGGCATGCAACGGGCGAGGCTCGCGATAGAGACTACGACTCCCAGCGCGCACTTGAGGCTGAGTGGCAGCCTGGGGCTCGTAGTCTCGCCCGGGAGCCTCCGCTCGGCGCTGGACTCGGCTGGGGCGGGGCTCAAAGTTTGAGGCTGTCGCCGAGCGGAGGGAGTAGAGGGGCTGTGGCTGCGGGCTGGCCCGGGAGGCCGTTACACTGGCAGCGGGGGAGGGGCTGGTGGGCCCTCTCCCTGGTTTTCACTCCCGCAGCCCCGCCCGGCCCCGGCCGCGCTGAGGTGAGTGGAGAAGGAGAAGGAGGTGAGCGGGGGCAGTAGGGAGCTGTACTCCGGGCGGGGCCTGCCTGTGGCGGTCCTGAGGCTAGTACCGACTACGCTATAGCCGGCGAGGGAGTGGGTGGTGCTGGGTCCGCGCGGGGGGCGTAGCAGGACGGGCGGTGCTGGGTCTGCTGGGTGGGTGGCGGGTAGAGTGACCAGATGGCCCGATATTTAACCCTTTGTCCCAATCGATGTACGATCGGGACCCCATTTGTCCTGATATTCAGGTAAGGAGGCAAGCGGGAGGGAGGCTCCGACTCTGTGGGTGATCCGGGGCAGCCAAGCTCCCCTCCCCCCACCCTCCCCCAGTGCACTGTGTCCCCGCTCCTCGCCCTCCCAGTGGTTCTGCCGCCTAACAGCTGTTTGGTGGCATGTGGGACTTTCTGAGAGGGGGGAGGAGGGAGCGGGGACTCAGCACGCTCAGGGGAGGAGGTGGCGAAGAGTCAGGGCAGGGACTTGGGGGAAAGGAGGGGAATGGGGGTGGGGCAAGGGCAGTATAGGGGCAGGAGGCAGGTGAGCACCTACCAGGCAGAGGGGAAGTCAGCGCCGTAGGGCAAGCGGCGAGCCAGTGATGGGCGGGGGATGTGAGGAGGCAAGCAGAGGGCGAGCGGTGGGTGGGAGACTGCGGAGGGATGCAGCAAGCCGGCCGGGGGCTGAGGAAGGGCATGGTGGCTGAGGAAGGGCATGGTGGTGGGGGGGCCAAGCAGGGAGGATGTGGGACCTGGGACAGAGTGGGGGTGGAGCCTGGGAGGAGTGGGGTTGGACTGTTGGCAGGGCTGATGGCACCCCAATGTGTCCTGATATTTTACTGTTGTGATCTGGTCACTGGGGGGTGGGGGTAGTAGCAGGAAGGGCTGTGCCAGGTCCGGTGGGTGGGTGGGTGGGGGAGTAGTGGGAGGGGCAGTGCTGGGTCCGCTGGTGCGTGGGAGTGGCCAGATGGGGTGGGGCGGTGCCAGGTCTGTTAGGGGGAGGGCGGGGAAATGGTTAGCGGGCAGTGCCTAGTAAGTAGGGCTTTAAACTAGATTCACCAGGGGATGGTGACTTAAGCCCGGAGGTAAGTGGGGAAGTGGGATACCGGAAGGAAACACAAGGAGGAGGGTGCAAATGGGGAGGCCTCCTGATTCATACTGAGAAAGTAGGGCAATCTTAGGTGCCTGTATATGAACACAAGAAGCCTAGGATACAAGCAGGAAGAATTGGAAGTTCTGGCACAGTCAAGGAACTATGATGTGATTGGAATAACAGAGACTTGGTGGGGTAACACACATGACTACAGCACTGTCATGCCTGGGTATAAACTGTTCAGGAAGGACAGGTGGGGGAGAAAAGGTGGAGGAGTTGCACTGTATGTAAGGGAGTAGTATGACTGCTCAGAGCTCCAGTATGAAACTGGAGAAAAGCCTGTTGAGAGTCTCTGGGTTAAGGTTAGAGGCAAGAGCAAAAAGGGTGATGTCATGGTGGGCGTCTGCTATAGACAACCAGACCAGGAGGATGAGGTAGACAAGGCTTTCTTCGGACAACTAACAGAAGTTTCCAGATCACAGGCCCTGGTTCTCACGGGGGACTACAATCACCCTGATCTGCTGGGAGAGTAATACAGCAGTGCACAGACAATCCAGGAAATTTTTGGAGAGTGTTGGGAACAACTTCCTGGTGCAAGTGCTGGAGGAACCAACTAGATGCCATGCTCCTCTTAACCTGCTGCTCACAAACAAGGAAGAATTGGTAGGGGAAGTAGAAGTGGGTGGCAACCTGGGCAGCAGTTTGGTCAAGGATGGGAAGCACTGGATGGTCAAGATCAGGATCCTGACAAAAGGAAGAAAGGAGAGCAGCAGAATACAGACCCTGGACTTCAGAAAAGCAGACTTTGACTCCCTCAGGGAATTGATGGGCAGGATCTCCTGGGAGGCTAATATGAGGGGGAAAGGAGACTAGGAGAGCTGGCTGTATTTTAAAGAAGCCTTATTGAGGGCGCAGGGACAAACCATCCCAATGTGCAGAAAGAATAGCGCATATGGCAGGTGACCAGCTTGGCTTAACAGAGAAATCTTCAGTGAGCTTAAACACAAAAAGGAAGCTTACAAGAAGTGGAAACTTGGACAGATGACTAGGGAAGAGTATAAAAATATTGCTCAAATATGCAGGGGTGTAATCAAGAAGGCCAAAGCACAATTGGAATTGCAGCTAGCAAGGGATGTGAAGGGTAACAAGAAGGGTTTCTACAGGTATGTTAGCAACAAGAAGGAGGTCAGGCAAAGTGTGACCCTTACCTAGTGACAGATGATTTGGAAAAAGCTGAAGTATTCAATGGTTTTTTTTCGCCTCGGTCTTTACAGACAAGGTCAGCTCCCAGACTGCTGCACTGGCCAGCACAGTATGGGGAGGAGGTGAGCAGCCCTCAGTGGTGAAAGAACAGGTTAAGGACTATTTAGAAAAGCTGGACATGCACAAGTCCATTGGTCTGGATCTAATGCATCCAAGGGTGCTGAGGGAGTTGGCTGATGTGATTGCAGAGCCATTGGCCATTATCTTTGAAAACTCGTGGTGATCGGGGAGGTCCCGTACAATTGGAAAAAGGCAAACATAGTGCCCATCTTTTGAAAAGGGGAAGAAGGAAACTCTGGGAAAGTACAGAGCGGTCAGCCTCATCTCAGTCCCTGGAAAAATCATGGAGCAGGTCCTCAAGGAATCCATTTAGAAGCAGTTGGAGAAGAGGAAGGTGATCAGGAACAGTCAAAATGGATTCATCAAGGGCAAGTCATGCCTGACCAACCAGATTGCCTTCTATGATGAGATAACTGGCTCTGTGGATATGGGGAAAGCAGTGGACGTGATATATATTGACTTTAGCAAAGCTTTTGATAGGGTCTCCCACAGTATTCTTGACAGCAAGTTAAAAAAGTATGGATTGGATGAATGGACTGTCAGGTGGCTAGAAAGCTGGCTAGATTGTCAGGCTCAACAGGTAGTGATCAACGGCTCGATGTCTAGTTGGCAGCTGGTATCAAGAGGAGTGCCCCAGGGGTCTGTCCTGGGGCCAGTTTTGTTCAACATTTTCATTAATGATCTGGGTGATGGGATGGAAAGCACCCTCAGCAAGTTTGCGGATGACGCTAAGACGGGAGGAGAGGTAGATATGCTGTAGAGTAGCGATAGGGCCCAGGGTGACCTAGGCAAATTGAAGGATTGGGCTAAAAGAAATCTGATGAGGTTCAACAAGAACAAGTGCAGAGTCCTGCACTTAGGATGGAAGAATCCCATGCACTGCTACAGGCTGGGGACCGACTGACTAAGCGGCTGTTCTGCAGAAAAGGACCTGGGGATTACAGTGGACGAGAAGCTGGATATGAGTCAACAGTGTGCCCTTGTTGCCAAGAAGTCTAACGGCATATTGGGCTGCATTAGTAGGAGCACTGGCACCAGCTCGAGGGAAGTGATTATTCCCCTTTATTCAGCACTGGTGAGGCCACATCTGGAGTATTGTGTCCAGTTTTGGGCCCCCCACTACAGAAAGGATGTGGACAAATTGGAGAGAGTCCAGCGGAAGGCAATTAAAATGATTAGGGGACTGGGGCACATGACTTATGAGGAGAGGCTGAAGGAACTGGGTTTATTTAGTCTGGAGAAGAGAGTAGTGAGGGGGGATTTGATAGCAACCTTCAATTACCTGAAACGGGGTTCCAGAGAGAATGGAGAGAGGCTGTTCTCAGTGGTGGCAGATGACAGAACAAGGAGCAATGGTCTCAAGCTGCAGTGGTGGAGGTCTAGGTTGGATATTAGGAAAAACTATTTCACTGGGAGGGTGGTGAAGCACTGGAATGGGTTATCTAGGGAGGTGGTGGAATCTCCATCCTTAGAGGTTTTTAAGGCCCGTCTTGACAAAGCCCTGGCTGGGATGATTTAGTTGGGGATTGGTCCTACTTTGAGCAGAGGGTTGGACTAGATGACCTCCTGAGGTCTCTTCCAACCCTAATCTTCTATGATTAATTTCTCTCTAAGTGGTCTCGGTGCCAGTAGATGGGACAGAGCACCACACCCAGGAGCTGTGTGGGTTACACAAGCGCTGCCACCTCTCCCAGCGTATAGTCAGAGAGATTAGGGGCCTACTTTTCAGAGGTGCCAAGCACCCACAACATGAGATGGAGTTGTGTGTGGTGGGTCAGCATCTTTGAGAATCAGGCCCCAGGTGACTTGCCTAAAGTCCCAAAGGAAATCTGTGACAGAACACTAAAACTCAGATTTCCCACGCAGGATTTTATGGTTAAGGCAATCCTTCTTCCAGATTTCAGCTACATCTGTCACAGTTTAATTAGCTGAGTCCAAGAGAAAATGAGAGTCTATCAGATGTGCTTATAAAAAACCTCCTGGCTATTTGGGTTTGGAGGGGTTTCTGTAAGCGTGTTGGCAGTGCTGTCTTTCACAAATTGTCCCACCATTTGGCCAGGCTAAATTTAATAAAGTTTCTTGAAGTAATAAATTCATGGACTTCTAAATGTTTGTTTATTTATTGTTGTTCACATCTGAGTTAAATCCTATGTCTATTTTTTATTATACTTAACTATGCATTGCAGGCACTTGTGTACACTCAATCTGTAAATGGTAACTTCAGGAGTTTGCCTGGAGGAAAGCCAGAAGTTTGTGACATAAACAGAAAGATCAATGCTTTCCCTTCTAGCAGCAAACAGACATAGCCAGGTAGAAGGGTGGGGGTAGACAGCAAAACAATTTTATGTTTCTCATTAATCATCTGATGTCAAAATATCTTGCCAGGTGAATTTAAATAGACAAAGATAACAGAAACAAAGCAGCAATCAGTCTGAAATCCCCTGGCTTGCTTGGCCAAAGGAAAGTTTTGGGGTTTCCCCCTCACTGTTGCCTATAAAATCATCCTACGCTCAGTATCACTGCTGCTTTAAAGTTTGGAATTAAGATGCAGTAGCAAAAATAAAAGTGGCTTATGTTTTAAAATTTGGGAGTATGGTATAGTCTCTAATTATATCCTCTCACTGAATTTCAGTTTAGGTTGCCCTGCCAGAAAGTGCATCTCTAACTCAGTGGGGGTGTAATTTTATTCAAGTCAGTGGAGTTTCATTGGGTATAAACTTGGCCCAGTGTGCTTTGAAAAGAAAATGTGAATCACAGGGATGACTAAGTACAGCCCTCTGTCAATGATACTGTTGCTGAGGAAACTGATAAATGGGGTTTAACAATGGCAACTGGAAGATGATCCTCCTTTAAGATGCTTCATGGGAGTAGATCTTACATGTGCTCTGATACACCTCTACCTCGATATAACGCTGTCCTCGGGAGCCAAAAAATCTTACCGCGTTATAGGTGAAACCGCGTTATATTGAACTTGCTTTGATCCACCGGAGTGTGCAGCCCCGCCCCCCCGGAGCGCTGCTTTACTGCTTTATATCCGAATTCGTGTTATATCGGGTCACGTTATATCGAGGTAGCAGTGTACTTCAGATCACAGAGGTTTGGTTCTTATTTAAAAAACAAAACAACCCCCCTCAAAATAACTGAGGACTGTTGATGTCATCCTAAATGTCAAAATAATCAATGAGCTATAGCCCACTGTTGTTGGTGGTAATGGGTTACAATAGGCTGTGCACATTCAGAGCCTTTACAGGTACTGGGTTTCCCAAAGGCATCCTCTTAGATGGAGATGTCACTTCATCACTCCCTTGACATGTGAAACCTGGGAGAAGTGTGTTAATCCATTTGCTTACCACTCCTGTACAATCCACAGGTTTAGAACAACAAATGCTAGATAGCAAAACAAAAATAAAATGAGAGATTTGGAAATGGGGTGCTGGAATAGGGGAGCAAGGCCCCTATCACTTTTAGAAGTGGGAGGGCTATGCCATGGTTTGGGTGCCAGTGGCCCCCCACTTTTAGGAAGCTTCTGTTACTCTTGTTTGGAAATATAGACTATAGTGACATGATCCACAAAGTATTCCTGAACAGAGGAAAATGCTGAGAATTATAAAAGTGCAAAAAGAATTAATAGGAAGATATTCCTTACATAGCTTTACCTGCTTGGCAAACTTGCATTATAGGTAGATGTATTAACTTTGTACTTTTATTGTACCTCTGTAATAAACTTACTTTAACAATTAAGATAGGTCCTAATGACTATATTTCACAAATACATTCTCCTATTGTGGTTTCATGTTGTAAACCACAGAGTTTATTTCTGATAGAATAGAATAGCATATATTTTTCCCAACTAGGAGAGGAAGGATGATCCAGGGGTTAGTATGCTGGTCTGGGACTTGGGAGATATGGATTCAACTCCCTGCTCTGCCACAGATTTCTTGTGTGACCTTGGGTACATCACTTAGTTTCTCTCTCTACTTCCATTCCTCATTTATAAAATGGGATAATAGCACTTAGCTACCTCCACAAGGATGTTGAGGATGAAGATATTAAAGATAGTGAGGTGCTCAGATACTATGGTAATGGGGGCCATATAAGTACCTTAAAAAAGTTTGACCAAATTAAATATCATATATATAATAAAAACAAAGACCCTGATAAACTGAGTAGTTAGCTGATATATTTTGTGTTTCTCCAACACTTTTACTAATGGTGGGTTGCTTTGCTAAGGGTTATTCCTGCATATGATTAAAACATAATCATGTCGGTAATATTTTATTTCAAGCCTGACAACCAAGGAGAACAAAACAAACTGCGAAGAGTTACAAAGGGATCTCACAAAACTGGATGACTAGGCAACAAAATGGCAGAAGAAATTCAGTGTTGATAAGTGCAAAGTAATGCATATTGGAAAACATAATCTCAACTAGACATACAAATGATGGGTCTAAACTAGCTGTTACCACTTAAAAAAGAAATCTTGGAGTCACTGGATAGTTCTCTGAAAACATCTGCTCAGTGTGCAGCGGGAGTAAAAAAAAACCTAACACAATGTTAGGAACCAATAGGAAAGGGATAGATAAGACAGAAAATATCATAATACCACTAAATAAATCTATAGTACACCCACACCTTGAATATGGTGTGCAGTTCTGGTTGCCCCATCTCAGAAAAGATATATTAGAATTGAAAAAAGTATAGAGAAGAGCAACAAAAATGATTAAAGGTATGGAACAGCTTCCACGTGAGGAGAGATTAAAAAGATGAGGACTGTTCAGCTTGGAAAAGAGACAACAAAGGGGATATGAGAGAGGTCTATAAAATCATGAATGGTGTGGTGAAAGTGAATAGGGAAGTGTTATTTACCCCTTCATATAACAAAAGAACCTGGGGTCAGCCAATGAAATTAACAGGCAGCAGGTTTACAACAAACATAAGGAAGTACTTCTTCACACAACACACAGTTGATCAGTGGAACTTGTTGCTGGGGAATGTTGCGAAGGCCAAAAGTATAACTGGGTTCAAAAGAAGTTAGATAAGTTCATGGAGGATAGGTCTATCAATCAAAGGACCGACTCCTTAGATGCTCCAGGGCTGGAGCACCCACATAAAAAAGTTAGCAGGTACTTACCACCTACTGGCAGGCAGCTCTGCTCCCTCCCCCCCACTCCTGCCGGTTGGCAGCCCCGCTGATCAACTCCTCCTCCTCCCTCCCAGCACCTCCTGCATACCGCGATCAGCTGTTTCACAGCATGCAAGAGGCGCCGGAAGAGGGAGGAGCAAGGACAGGGCACGCTCAGGGGAGGGAACAGAACTGGGTGGGAAGGAGTGGGGCAGCGCAGCGCCTGGAGTGGAGGCGGGAAGGGATGGGGTGGGGGCAGGGCCTGGGGGGTTGAGCACCCCCCAGGCCCATAGGAAGCCAGCTCCTATGCCATCAATGGCTATTAGCCAAGATGGTCAGGGATGCAACCCCATGTTCTGGGTGTCCCTAAACCTCTGACTGCCAGAAGCTGGGACTGGATGACATGGGATGGATCATTTCATAATTGCCCTGTTCTGTTCATTCTCTCTGAAGCATCTGGCACTGGCCCTTGTCGCAAGACAGGATACTGGGCTAGAAGGACCATTGGTCTGACTCAGTATGGCCATTAATTTGTTCTTAAGGTCAAGGAGAAAATGTATAAATCTCTATTAGAGCAAAGGGTTGATCAAAGGAAAACAAACCACAGCAGATGATCCATTCTAAAAAAACTGGAGTGGGAGGAGGAGCAGCTCTTGAGCTTGGAGTAGGGAACAAAATTAGGATCACAGTAGTGAGAATGGGGATATGTCAAAGATGCACTCCATCATGCATGATTCCAAATGTTCTTTATTAGATCAATTTCAACTTGGCCGGGAGGGATCTGTAGAAATAATTAGCATGTAGATGATAAAATAGTGGCATCTCACTGTAAGTGTTTCTGGAAAAATTAGAGGATTTACCAAAAAATCCTCATCTGTTTCAAGGATACTCACGATTATTTCTTTGGTGCCGTTTTGAAAATCTCTCATTGGATCTGATCTAATGCTATAAATTCAAGAGCCAATGTTTGGTGGTTAGTGATAATTTTGGAGGGAAAATGAGCCGGTAACTAGAAATTAGATTATGATCTTTCAAGCAATCTCCACCTGATTTTTTAAAAAAATATTTGTTTAGGACATTTTAACAGGTTTACAAATCCTTGCCAAGTATGTATCAGGGACAAACACAATAATTATAACAGTGAGCTTTTGTTTAGAGAAACATACAGTAATAGATAATCAACAGCTCTCGCTATGCAATGGGGTGTTACCACACTACAGAATGAGCATCTTTATACTACATGACATGCTGTTTCTCTGTACCCAATTACACATCAGAATGGAACTACATATTCTAGTAGGCCAATGGTCAGCAACTTGGCTAAGGATAACAGAAGGGTAGAAAAATAACATTTGCTAAAGTCATTCTACTACTCCCACTGTGCAATTCATCAACTTGAATAGGTTTCAGATGGAGATGGTATAATTGTACTTCTGTTTTTTCATGTTTTCAGATTTTTCAAAGAACTCCAATAGCCTAATTTTTTTTCTGGGCACGAGAGTTGGTGGTGAATGCTGAATTTCCTTTTAAATTATGATGTCTTTTAGCCTAAAGTAGTAGGGGTACAGTGACGTGATTGTATACCTGCCTGGGATGCCCTTTTTTCTAACGGGGTCTAACAGCAGTTTTATCCTTTCCGTTAACTTCTGAAATGCAATTTTGCTTGCTTTTCTTGAGTGCAAGCTCCACTGTCTGTAGCTGGAACTTGATTAGCACAGCTATGCTCCTTTCTATTGGAATAACAGTGTGGTTTTCTTCCCTACACACTGTCAATAATCCATGAATCCATTCCTTCTATTTCAGTGCCTCTGTTCTTGTAGTTGATTTGTAGGTAACCAATCTACCTGTTCAAAGAGTGACTCCAAATACATGAGTTAGAAGGGGGGGAACTGCTTATAGGATGAGGTTGCCTATATGATACAAATTAATATGTCTGACCAGTGCCACCCACTATAAACTGTTTAAGACTAGTGTCCAGAAACTTCGGTGAGAGTAGGCAAGTCACTCGCAGCCATGCTATAAGCTTTCACCATTATGTACTTACTGACAGAATTAGTAGCAGAGGAGGATGCTTTGGTGACACTTATGTAAAATGTTGGACTTTCCATAGTTTGTGACTAAGAGGAGAGACTGATATTTAGATTGGGATTTTGTTGCAATATTGGGTCATGGGTTGACATAAGAACAGCTATACTAGGTCAGACCAATGGTCCATCTAGTCCAGTATCCTGTCTTCTGACAGTGGCCAATGCCAGGTGCTTCAGAGGGAATGAACAGAACAGGTCATCATCAAGGGATCCATCCCCTGTTGCCCATTCCCAGCATCTGGCAAACAGAGGATAGGAACACTTCTAATAGCCATTGATGGACCTATCTTCCATTAACTTATCTAGTTATTTTTTTTTGAACCCTGTTATAGTCTTGGCCTTCACAACATCCTCTGGCAAAGAGTTCCACAGGTTGACTGTGCGTTTTGTGAAGAAATACTTCTTTTTTCCATTGATATTACTGTAATATTTTATTTTTAGGATAAATGGGTGTGCATGACCTTTACCTGAAGTAAAGCAGTTCCATGTCTTGTTTGGTAAGTCTACATTTAATATGGTTTATTTTATGTCATAGTTTTTGACAGTTGCACCTTGCAATTCAATCACGTATCATGAAATAAAACTTCTGGTGAAATTTCTTGCTATTTGCTGAGGGAAAACTCCATTCAAGGGATTCTAACAGTAAACAATAACAAATTCCTAATGTAGATGCTAGCAAAGGGTTCAGGAGAGTGTGAGTTTCTCTTCTAGCACCACAGAATAGTTCAGAGAGCTGATTAGCCTGTTGGTGCTCACTCTTATTAGAGTGGGACTCATTAATATTAAAATTAAATTAAGAAAAACCTTAAACAGCTTTGGAATTTTATACAGTGTATTCCTCCACTATGAAAGGAAGGTCCTAGTAGAAGAGAAAAATGGCATGGAAGAGGGCAAGTGCATTGGGCCCTTAAGTGCTACTGTTCTCAGGGGGACTCTTCCACCCTCTCTGTTCCTGGTTTACTTATGTCAAGAGACTATCTGACACAGTGGTTCCAAACTGTGGGGCATGGAAGAACGTTGGGGGGTTGTGGCGGGGCCCAGGCCAGTCCTCCCGGGGAGTGGGGAAGGAGTGCCACCCAGCCTCACTCTGCCCCCAGCTCCGCTCCCGGCCCGAACCGCAGCCCCAGCTGCAGCTCTGGCTCCAAGTGGGGCCCTGCCTTGGCTCTCCACCGTGGCTGTAGCCCCTCTCCTAGCCCCGGCTCCTGGGGCAGGGAAAACCAGGTAAGAGGGGGAGCATCAGCAAAAAAGTTTGGGGACCACTGCACTAAAATGATGTGCACAAGGATTCTTTTTGATGAGGCCCTGGATAACTGGAACATAGCTTTGGGTAACGTCTCCTCTCCCCCCTCCCCCGGTAATACTCTATTGATTACAGTACGTCCATTGCAGTTCATTTACTGATACAGTACTATGTATTTCAAGGATTGTTCCTGTATTCTGCGGACAACAGTTGAATCAATCAGACAAGAAAAGCAATCAGAAAATAGCATCCATCAATACTTGGTAAGAAGAAATCCAAATTGATTTAAGAGTTAACCTGCAAAATTAAATGGAAAAATGTAAGGCTGAGAAATATCAAGCACTGTACATCAGGAATTTCCAAAGATTAAGCTTACTATGGCAATGTTAACTTGGCAAGGTTGTGGGTAGAATATGTAGTATTTTCTATTCAAATTTTTCTTACATCTAAACCCAAATGCATTACTCTTCAATCTGTACTAGAAAAATTCTGAATGGACAATGTCGCCAAGTCTCATACTGTGATAGAAAAAAATGGTTACTCACCTTCTCATAACTGTTGTTCATGTCCATTCCAATCAGGTGTGTACGCACGTATGTGCATGGTAGCCAGAAGATTTTCCAATATCAGCATCTGTCAGGTCAGTCTGGGCACCCCTTGGAGTCGCGCCTTTATGGCACTCAATATAGAGCCCTTCCGACCCGCCACCCCCTCAGTTCCTTCTTGCCGGCTACTCCGACAGAGGGGTAGAAGGGTGGGTATTGGAATGGACATGAACAACACATCTCGAAGAACAACAGTTACGACAAAGTGAGTAACCATTTTTCTTCTTCGAGTGCTTGTTCGTTCCAATCAGGTGACTCACAAGCCCAGATTCAGGAGGTGGGGTCAGAGTCATCCACTGATTGGAGCACCGCTCTTCCAAAGGCTGCATCGTCGCTGGCCTGCTGGGTGATAGCGTAGTGTGCGGTGAAAGTGTGTATGGAGGACCACGTCATTGCTCTGCAGGTTTTCTGAGTGGGATCCTGCTCCAGGAACGCCGTTGAAGAGGCCTGAGCCCTGGTGGAGTGATCGAAGGAGCAGGCACCCCTGCCAGGTTGTAGCACTCCCGGATGCAGGATGTGATCCACAACAAAATTCGTTGGGAAGAGGCAGGAAGACCTTTCATTCTGTCTGCCACTGCCACGAATAACTGCACCGAGTTTTGGAATAGTTTCGTTCTCTCGATGTAGAAGGCTAGCACTCTGCAGACATCCAATGAGTGAAGTCTTTGCTCCCTGCCGCTTGAGTGCGACTTAGGATAGATGGAAGATTGAGTTCACGATGTCCAGGTGAAGGAACCACTCATGGCCGTGGGACAACCTGCTGAGATGGTCCGCCAACTTGTTCTGTACTCCAGGGAGGTATGATGCTTGCAGGTGTATTGAGTGGTCTACACAAAAGTCCCACAGCGTGATAGCTTCCTGGTACAGGGGAGAGGACATGCACTCCCATTTGTTGATATAAAACATTGCTGTGGTGTTGTCTGTCATCACTGATACACATCTCCCTGCTGGGTGTGCTTGGAAAGTCTGGCATGCCAGGCGCACCGCTCTCAGCTCTCTGACATTGATGAGGAGAGCGAGATCCGCCTGAGACCAGAGGCTGTGTGTTCTGACGTCTCCCAAATGTGCCCCCAAGCCCAAGTCTGACACATCCGTCGCTAGCGAGAGGGATGGCTGAGGGCTGGTGAAAGGGACCCCTGCACATACTACCTGCGGGTTGAGCCACCACAGGAGGGAGTTGAGTATCGGGCAAGGCAGGGTTACAATCCTGTCCAAACTGTCCCGGCCTGGCTGATACACTGACACCAGCCATGACTGAAGAGGTCGAAGTCTGAGTTTGGCATGCTATACTGTGTAGGTACAGGCTGCCATGTGTCCTAGAAGTTTCAGGCAGTACCATGCTGTGGTGGTGGGGAACTGTCTGAGACCTCGAATAATGTCACCCATGGCTCGAAATCTCACTTCTGTAAGGAATGCCCTGGCATATGTTGAGTCCAGTACCACCTCTACAAATTCTATCCTCTGAACCAGGGACAGCGTTGATTTACCCTCATTCAGTAGCAGGCTCAGTTTGTCAAAAGAAGCTCTTATGAAGGCGACTTGTGTCTCTACTTGAGTTCTGGATCGGCCCTTGATCAGCCAGTCGTCGAGGTATGGGAACACCTGTACCTGTCGCCTGCGCAGGAATGCAGCCACGACTGCCATGCACTTGGTGAATACCCGAGGTGCCGCTGACAGGCCGAACAGGAGGACTGTGAACTGGTAGCAGGTGTTGTTCACCACACACCTGTGGGACTGAGTTATTGTTATGTGAAAGTACGCGTTCTTCAAATCAAGGGCGGCATACCAGTCTCCTGGATCCAGTGAAGGGATGATGGAGGCCAAAAAGACCATGTGGAACTTGGGCTTCTTCATGAACTTGTTGAGTTCTCGCAAGTCTAGGATGGGCCTGAGCCCACCTTTGGCTTTCGGTACAAGGACATACCGAGAATAGAAACCATTGCCCTTCTGCTCGAGGGATCTCTTCCACTGCCCCTAGCGAAAGGAGCGAGTGCACCTCCTGTATAAGGAGTTGCTCATGAGAGGGATCCCTGAAGAGGGACGGGGTAGGAGGGTGGGAGAGCTCAGAATTGGATGGAGTATCCCCTCTCTACTGTGTGGAGCACCCAGTGGTCTGAAGTGATACGGGATGAAGCACGGTAGAAAGGGGACAATCGGGACGAAAGATAAGGTGGGGTAAATCCAGTTTTTGTTCTGCTGTGCTGTCCTTGGCCGCACCTTCAAAAGGCCTGTTTTAGGCCGGAAGATGGCTTGGATTGGCTAGAGCCCTGGCCTGATGACAGGTGTGGCCTTTTCCTGCCACTCCTGTTCTTCCTCCGGGAACTGTCCTGATGGTTCTGTTGGTAGAAGTATGGGGGAGGTTGTGGTCTAAAATACGTCTGCTGCATAGCAGATGTATGAAGGTCCTATGATTTGAGAGTGGCTCTCGAGTCCTTTAGGCTATGCAGCCTTATGTCTGTTTTCTCGGAAAAGAGAGCCAAACCCTCAATTGGGAGGTCCTGAATAGTCTGTTAGACCTCATACAGCAGGCCCGAGACCTGGAACCAGGAGCCCCTTCTCAGGGCTATGCCCGTAGCCATCACGCGGGTAGCTGCAATCCGCCCATGGAATAGACCTTTCTCCTGTAAAGTTTGAGTCCTTTTTGCCTCCTGATTCTTCAGGGAGGATCCCTAGAAGCCCTGGTGTTCACGTTGGTTGACAGCATCAACAACGAGAGAATCAGGTTGGGGATGGGTATACAAATACTTGTAGCCCCTGGACGGCACAAAGTAGCGTCTGTCGTTGCACTTAGCCGTAGGGGGCAATGCGGCTGGGGTCTGCCACAAAGTTTTTGTGGTGTCAGAGATGGTTTTTGTAAGAGGCAGGGCAATATGTGCAGGTCCAGGGGGGTAAGGATGTCTACCATTGGATCTGTGTACTCCACTACCTCCTCCATCAGAATGCCCAGGCCCTGGGCAACCCGCCGCAGCAATTGCTGTAGGACCCTCCTGTCTTCCAGGGCTCGGGCTGTAGCCATGCCCACCAGCGCCTCATCTGGTGAGGATGAGGAAGAGACCCCCGTAAGGGGTGGCTGCTCCCTTCCTCCCACACACAAGGGGTCCCGCGGCACCTGGATTTCTTGGGCCAGTGCCGACCCGGATGGTATCGCGCCCCTCAGTGTCGGGACTGCATACGGTGACACCGCTGCCGAAAGTGTCATCGGTGCCGAGGCCATCATTGACACCAGAATTGCAGACTGTGCCAGGGCCGTCATCAGTGTTGGAGACGTCAGAGCCAAAACAACTGGGGCCAGTGCAGGCCATGCTGGAGGCGTCGGGATGGTGGTGCTGGGTGGCAATGGGGCTACCCCTGATCCTGCCAATGATGCTGGGGTTGGAGATCGACAGGGCACCATGGCGGGCTTTCCGCTTGAAAGTGCATGGAGAGCGACCAGTGCTGGCGACCTGTCCTATCTAGGAGGGGAGAACAGTGCCGTGAAATGGAGCAGTTCTTGGGCTGCCTCGAATGCCTCCGGAGTTGAAGGGAGGTGCAGCTCCCAGCTTGGCCTCGGCGAATGAGGAGGGTCCAGACTCAACCGCCCTTCCACGCTGGCAGAAGTCGACACGACTGTCACCAGTGGTAGAGCAGAAGTAGTGTGGCCCAACTTGGGTCTCACAACGGCTGGCTCCTTAGGCCTAGCTGGGGAAGCACGACCTCTCTCCGGCCTCCTCTTCTTCTTCTGCGGCACCAGCGATTGAGAACGGTGCCTGCGTGCTGCATTTGAGCCACGAGTGGAGCCGGGACGGTGCCATGAGTCCTTGTCCTTACTCGGCCCCGGTGCTCTTGCTGACGGTGCCGGAGCGCTCCGCGCTGAAGAAGAGGAACTCGGCAGGGTCCGTTGACCTGGGGTCGGACGGGTGGCGGAGTGCAGCCAGGCCCTCTCAGAGATCCAGAGAGGCCCAGGCCACTTCCAGCTTTTGAGTCCCCTAGCCATAATAAAATAAAAAATAATGACACATGAAAACAAAATAAGGCACCAAAATAGAGTGAGACATAATTTGAATATTATTTTATTTAACAAATGCTTTTCTAGCCTTTTTCTGTGCAAATGCACTAATTATTGAGGGAAAATCTAGCTTTTGTGCAATGTCACAGTTGATATTAAGCATGGCAAGCCCATTCAAACGCTCTTGTCCCATAGTTGAACGGTGATAGTTCTTTACCTGCTTCAACACATTGAAGGTGCGTTCACCTGAAGCCACTGATGCAGGCAAACTGACAAAAATACACAATGCAATTGTGATATTAGGAAACAACCCAGAGAGTCCAAGTTCAAGTATTTCTTGAAGCAATTCCTTTGGCTTGCAATCCAATTTAAAGTTTGTGGAATACATTCGTTTGAGGAAGATGACCTCGTCACTGAGCTCTTTTGAGATTTCTTTGTTGTACTGTTGCTCAAATTGTTCAGCTGCAGAAAGTAGATCTTCATTACTCAGGCTATTGAACTGCCAGAGAAACCCAAAAAGGGTACAAATTAATCACAGTGACTCAAATCGACGTGTAAGACCTGATTGAATAGACTCAATGGTGACAAGGAAGACATTGACCCTATAATTCTGCTGGGCATCGGATTCAGTAGGTAAGTTGCGATTGGTGGAGAACTCAGATGAAATGCCAATATTCTGTGCTACTAATTTGGACTTAGTCAGCATCGCATCCCGTTGTTAATGAATCCGTTGAATGTCATTGATAAGACTTTTGATGTTATCCCTCTCAACATCAAGTGTAGCATTGCATGCTTCAATTACCAGATTAGTTTGCTGGATCATTGTAAGTAGCTTCATCCACAAAGATGACATCAGAATGCATTCAAATTTGGACATGTGCTTCTGAATAGCCTGAAGTTCAGTTTGAGCCTGTGCAGTGAGATTGAGAGATTCAAGCTCCTTTAAAACCTTTCTGACTGAATTCAAATGCTGCGCAACTGGTTGAACACCATCGATCTGTGCAGACAATCTAATTTTGTACATCCCATGCAGTGGAACAGGAAGATATTGCTTCAGAATTTCCCACCTTTGTGGACTACTACTGAAGAGATTGTACATTTGCTGAACAGTTCCAAAGTAAGTAATTGCCTCCTTCCATGATTCAGCACAGTCAACACCTACAAGGTTTAGGTGTGATTTCCACAGCTGGAGAAAAAACAGTTTGAATTATGCTCAAGCAGAACTGCTTCTACACCTTTGTACTTCCCAGCCATATTAGATCCATTGTCATAGGCTTGACCAATGCAGACTTGAAAATCTAACTTAAAACCTTCTAGAATTGCTAGTACTTGAGCAGCAATTTCTTTTCCAGTTTTGCTCATGAAATTATCAAACAAAATAAACCTTTCTTCAATTGAAAATTTTGAGCTGTCTATAATCTTAACATATCGAATAACCATAGTAGTCTGTTCCTTGTGAGAACAATCTGGAGTAGCATCAACAATGATTGAAAAATACTTGGCATTTCAAATCTCATCAAGAATTGTTGTTTGTACGAATGACCCACATAGCTCAATAAACTCGTTTTGTATGCGCGTGGAGAGATAATGGACTTGCATGCGCTTTTGACTCTCTTGCAATTCTCGAACACGTTTAACATGCTCTGATAAAAGTGGGTTATATTTGCTGAGGAGCTCAACTATGCCTAGAAAGTTTCCATTTGCACGATCACCAATACATTGACTGGAACCAAAAAAGCCAATCCCCACTCAGAAAGAAAAAGGATGACATTCAGGATGCACTCAAGAAGTTTTTTCCAGTTATTAGTTTCTGTAGAGAGTTCAGTCAAGAGTAAATTCTCAACTGAACTTTCAGCTGATGCTGCCCTACTGGCTGATTTCCATGCAACATAGTTTTCTTTGTGTGACGTTGAACTCTCATGTAAAGGTATTCGGTCTTTCAACTTCCTCCAACCTCTGTTGATGCTCCATCCTGATTGAACAGAGAGAACTGATGCATTTGCAGCGCTTTTGTTCAAAATGAAGCAGGGTGAACAGTACAGAGATTGTTTCTCCGTACTCCAACATAACCAGTCTCTTGTGCAGGTCTCACCATTTGGAAGAGTTTTTGTCAGCAGACGAGTAGGGAAAGCATGATTATCAGCATCTCGTGGAATGTTACTTGGAATTTCAAAACAACTAATTTGAAGAAAAGATTGCATTTGAGCAGCATTGCTCGTCACTAATTCCAATGTCAGTTACAGTCAAACCTGTAGTACTCATGAATTGCTCTTGCTGCGTAAGATCTACATCTTCCTGTTGCTGTTGAGTTTCTTGATCGTACACAGGATCTTCTGCTGCATCTGGTACTGTTGGCACATCTCCTTCTTGACTACTATCCTCATGTTCAGGTATTGGCATTGAAATATCACCTGATGCAGTTGCGGAGTTTTCATTATCTGTGCTATTATTTGTTGGGTAAGGTGTTTTCTCCAGTGGTTTGAGAAATGAAGTTATTGGTTTTGAGCTCTTAGCTGCTGCTTCACTCAGTTGTTTTCGCCTCTCTTGCTTGCACCACTTTCAAAGCTCCTCTTCATAGTGATCTATCTGATCGATTTACACCTGAAATGTTCTAAAGTAAATATGTAGCCTATCCACACTTGAAATAGTCTGCTGTAAATAAATAGCCTATCTACACTTGAAATCTTCTACTGTAAACATGTACACAAATGCTGAATGGTACACAAATGCTGAAAATACTTAAAATGAAGGAATACTAATTAAGAGCATAAAATGAAACAGTCAGGTTATTATCCTTATCACTGAATCAAAACTCAAGCATGCAAGGTATAATATAACAGGCTGAGCTGAAGACAAAGGGATGACATATATATAGTAAACACAGACACGGATACAGACAGAGGGATAATGTCCAAAAATTTCAAATGTATGCAGGGCCGGCTCCAGGGTTTTGGCCGCCCCAAGCAGCCAAAACAAAAAAAAACAAAAAAAAAGCCGCGATCGCGATCTGCGGCGGCAATTCGGCGGGAGGTCCTTCACTCCCAGGCGGAGTGAGGGACCGTCCGCCGAATTGCCGCCGAATACCTGGAACTGCCGCCCCTGTCCGGAACGGCTGCCCCAAGCACCTGCTTGAGAAGCTGGTGCCTGGAGCCGGCCCTGAATGTATGTCCTCACAAATTTTCACCTTGAATCTGGGCCTATAGACTATAAAAGCCTATGATGATGGCCAAGCTACCAAGCTAGGGCTCAACCAACCAACCAGTCACCTCTTTTAGCTACCATATGAAGATAATAATGAGGAATTCTCACACAAATAATTCCTTAGTCAACTAGACGTAAAACTATAAAGACACTGAAATGTAACAATTCTCTGCCTTTCAACACAAACTTGATGCAGCACCAGCCACAAGTAGTGGTTTGTTTATATAATCAGCTGATCTGAGAGGACATGTTCATCACGGTCTAATCTTGTGCCATCAGAACAGATATATTTTTATTAATATTTATGAACATTTTTAACTCTTTAATATGAAAAAATCTTTATCAGTTAACAAAAAAATTGTCTTTTACCAAATCACATCTCTTATTTGCTTAAATTTGCAGCTCTAAGCTGAGAGAGTGCATCACATTTTGGTCCTATACGGATGCATATAAAAACAAGTTGCGAAACTTATCAAATGCCAAAAAATTAACAAGTGTCTAAATTTGAGACCCCCTTTGAGCTTGAGGCCCAGGCCAAATGGCCCTCCTGGCCCTCCCACTGATTGTCCCTGAGTGCAGCCTTCATTAACAGGACCTTCAGGCGCTGGTCTCTATCCTTTTAATGTCCTGGGCCGAAAGGTCTTGCAGATGGCACAACGATCCTTCTGATGACTCTCTCCTAAACACTTCAAACATGAAGTGTGAGGATCGCTTCTGGGCATACACTTGCTGCAGGCTTCGCAGGCCTTTGAGGCCTGGAGATCCCGGCATGCCCTGGCATCGAGAGAGCTTAGGAGGGGAAACCCATGCCCCAAAGGAAACTTAATCTAACACTGAGGGCTACTAACTAGTTAATTAACCTACAGAGCTAATGAAAACTATGTATATAGACTGCTAAATGTACTTGCCGAGACAAGAGCACAGGGAAGTTCCAGCTAACCATCACTGGAGGCAAGAAGTAACTAAGGGGATGGCGGGTCGGCAGGGCTCTATATTGAGCACCATAAAGGCGCAATTCCAGGGGGCACCCAGATCGACCCGACGTATGCTGCTATGGGAAAATCTTCCGGCTACTGTGCACGTGCACACTCCTGATTGGAATGGACATGAACAAGCACTCAAAGAAGAACCTTAATTTCTTGAATCTCAAAAATTGAGTGCTTGATTTTTTCTCCCCACACATTTGCACTAGTGCGTATTTATTTATTTTTACATATACTCACACACACACACACAGACACACACACACACAAATGTGTGTACCAATATTAAACACTAATCCTTTTACTACTAGGCAGATGAACCCGAGTTATCCTGGATTCATCCATATGGAAGAGATGAAACGGTACTTTGTTCTTCTGACATCTCCCATTATGAACTCCAGGTGGAAATAGGTATTCTAATTCTATGCTGAAATATGCTTTGTCCATACAAGATTTTTCCTGCAAATGGCCATGCTTTATATATATTTAAAAAAAAAATCCCATGAGGGGAAAAACTAGAAGCTGAGAAAACATGTATTCTCCTTGTTATAGAGCCACCCAAAACTATTTTAGGATCTCTCTAAATGTTTGCACCCTTCTTGACCTCTAATCTTAGCTGATTATTTTTCTAGTGTTGTGAATTTCACTTAATGTTTAAAAAAATACAGTAGAAATTCACAAAGATACACAAAAACCTGCCTGAATTTGAAATCTCTATTCCAACTAGGAGAAGAGATTTTCTGCTCATCTTGCTGCTAATATTTTTTTTAATAAGTGACCACTCTACATTGGTTACATTGATTGTAAATATAGTAGAGAGCAAATCAGCATTGCGGTTCTGGTGGCTGTGGCACTTGACAGTTTTTTATCAGTCAACAGGTGTGGTAGATGGTCCTAAATATGGCTGTACTGCATCACTATGTTTAGAATGAGTGCCAGTGGTGGTAGTTCTTTAAGTTGGACATCAGCAAAGTAGTCAGCATTTGTAAGACACTTTATTGGTCCTGAGAAGTAAGACTTGTTTAAACAATTTTGATTAGACTAAACAGAAGCAACAACCATGACTTGACTAGTTTTCTGGCTGATGTTACATGTAAGCATGCACTGTTAACTGCACCCTTAAAGCCATAGATTCACTGCAGTCAGCAGCAGTCTGTTAGAATTCTAGGACTGTTTGACTACTTAGTGATGAAGCAATGTTGTGGGTTCTTTTTAAAACTACCTTTTATAATGTTAATGAAAGACAGTTGGCTTGCTTCTGGTTACAGGAAGAGGATTCAACAATTTAACTTCGATCTACCTTGCCCGACACACGCCTACAGGAATGCTTGTGGCTGTAAGGATCACAGACTTAGAAAGCTGCTCTGAAGAACATTTGAAAGCTTTACAGGTAAAACAGTGGGACTTATATAGATGTCTGACACAGAAACTATAATGTATGTGAGTATATGCAGTTAACCAGTACCAGAGACAGCCGTGTTATATGAACTTGTGCAAACTAAATTAAGTGGCTTCTTGATAAGGTACTAGAGAATAAACTGAAGTCTTCTGCCATACAACAATTTCTAGTCATGCAGGAATCCCAGTTTGAAACACAAACTCTATACTCTTCACTAGAATAAGGGGCTCGGAATTAATAATAAACAAACAGCAGTTCAGATAGACATTGAAAGCTTCAACAATTTGTTTGAATTTCCATTGCAGGATGTGCAAAGCATCTGCAATTTACATAGTGGGACTCCAAACTTGTTAGCTAGTAGAACTGCATTTACAAAATTGACTTTTTTAAAGTTACTGAGGACCTGTGTAGTTAAGGTTTTTGTCAAGATAATTATCTTCCAATAACTTACTCACTTTTGTTTAATTCTCTAGAATGAGGTGGTGCTATCCCACTTTTTCCAGCACCCCAACATACTGACACTTTGGACAGTGTTTACTACTGGCAGCTGGCTTTGGGTCATCTCTCCGTTCATGGCCTACAGTAAGAATTGTAACTACAACTTGGGAAAAAGCTTACTGAATTAACTCTGGATTAGATAGCTCAGTCCCTAACACCAGGCTTGTGGCTATGGAAGAGCACGAGACAGAGCAATTCTATATTTCCTTTCAGCATCTCTTCTCTTGTAGAGCTTGGATGTGTCCTAGTTCCTCTGTGCCAGACTTAAGAATTTTGCTTCTCCTAGAAGGCAGTGTGGATTAGCTATAGGGGTGAAACAGCCGGTTTCCAGTTCATGGAAACATGACTTAGGATGTGGTAGGCTTCATTATGATCTTTTAATCACTTGCTTTCAGTGATATACTCTGAGGTGACTTTCTTCCTCAGCAGTTGCCTCCCTGTATAAGTCATTGTAAAGAGAGAACAATGTTTCTTTTAGGGGGTACATGAACAGTGGAGAGAGTGCTGTGTTTTAGTAGGAATAAAGATTTATCACTAACAAGACCTGAATGCTTATCGTGATTTTTTTTTTCTTTTCAGATTCAGCTAGTCACCTACTGAGGACTTACTTCCCTGAAGGAATGAGTGAAGCTTTGATAGGAAACATTCTGTTTGGTGCAGTTAGAGGGTTAAATTATATGCACCAAAATGGCTACATTCACAGGTATGAGACAATTAATACCATAGATAAGAAGTTATAGCAACACACAAGCTTCCAAACTGAAGCTACTCATTAGTCTATTCAGTTTACCAGAAGCCTATGCCTGATTGCTTTAGAGGAAAGTGAGCTCCCTTTCAACACCCATTTCTCTTGTTACTCACAAATTGTTCAGCGCTGTGGAGTAGACACACGTCCTTCTCTGAGCATTTTCTTGGTTTGATACCCTCCAGGCTCTCTGGCATAGCTAGTTTAGCTGAAGATACTACTTTTGTTCCTATAAAATGTCTAATCACTTTTGAGCCTTCCTGCCACAATGACTTTCTGCAGCAGTACATTGCAGAGGTTGAACTATAATGCTTTGTAAATAACTTCCCTTTATCCATTCTAAATGTGTTGCTATTCAATTTAATTGTTCTTTTACAGGGGGCTGGATGAATGGGAGCACTTGCTTGGTCATCTTTTAATGTTTATACAGTGCTTTGGAGATGTAAAGCACTCTAAGTTTTCAGTAGTGTTATGGAGTTTGTTGCTAAATTGTATAATCAGTTGCTTGACCACACTTTTGTTTGTTATGAAATATAATCAAGAGTCCAAATAACCATTGTCAGGTTTATTAATATAGTACAGGAAAATATGTTCTATACAATGCTAGTCTCCAAAGGACAGTCCTGTGCAGCAATATTACACATTCACCTTACACAGAAGGTGTGCTCCCCAAAGTTACATCCCTGAAGTCATCTTTTTATAACTTACTTGTCTACCAGAAAAAGGAACTGTATACTTCACCTGCAACTGTATTGAATTAATCAGCTTTTTATCTTGTTTGTTTCTGGTACCATGGTGTATCCTGTTATCTCTTGTTCTGAACCCATGCATTCCAGGTATTAAAGAGTGTAAAGACACCTCCTAGGCTTGTAGCAGGATAAATAGGTCTCTGAGGGTAACTCCCTTTCTGTTGCTATGACAAAACAATTAAATGTCCGGATACTGACAGTTTTCCTATCTTTGTAAGCCAAAGTTTACTTCAGCTAATGCAAGCTATTATGGAATACTTAGCATAAGTGAACAGAATTATAATAAAGGTACAGGCCAATTTGGGCTATATAACTGCTATATTAATGCTTAATATTATGTATACTGAAATGCTTGGAACATATATTGTGGGTAGTATTATCAACATAATATATATGTATGCTAGCTAGTGTATATTAGTCAACAGGTTGCAGCATTGACTTCCTAGTTATGGTTATAACAGCTTTCTAATCTTAAAAAAAAAGACACTTGAAACCTAACTCCAAAGTTTCCTAAAAAACTTCATTTGTTCAAAATTTTCGTATGGCTTCTAATAAGAGGAGGATTCATAGTGAAAGCATTTTTGAGCTATGGAACTCCAAAAAGATTGTTCACTTTTCCCAAAGACTTCTAAAAAGCCTGAACTTCTCTTAACATCTTATTTTTAAAAGTAACAGCTTTGTCCAGAAGCTCCACATTTGTTTTATACTAGTCCTGACTATTTAATATCAGACTTCATGGTTTATAGTGGAAGTCAAGTTTCCAACACAAATTCTTACTTCCAAGAACAGTCTGGTCTTAAGCAAACTTCTTGTTGGTTCTTTAACTTGAAGCTTCTATCAAATTGTGAATTTACCAGAAATTTGAAGTGGCACAATGATGCTGCTTCAAAACTGGAAATATGTTTACCATAAACCAAAAATAGGGCCTTATTAGGAAGTTACAGATTTAAAAATAAGGCAAGTCTTGAGATGCATAGGAATAATTCAAAAACAAACCTTAATTTGGACTTCATCTCCTTTTTCACCTCAGCCTGTAGACCAGAAACTTTATATTTCTGCCAACCCTTTACATATCCAACATCCATTCTTCTGTATCTATTCTCTTATACAGTGTTCACTGTATCTGACATGCAAATCACTGAACACTAGCTAAAGACCCAACCCTGCTCTAGAGATAACAGCATCTTGTATCTTAACTCTGGAATAGAGTTCAGAGAATGTCTCCTTCCCCATCCCCCCAAATCCATTATAAACCAATTATTCCACATTGACCTCCTCTCTATGCAGATGCCCCAATATATGTACCTCATTTTTTCTTGTATAACTCTGTGGATGCACCTTTACCCCCATTCACTGTACTCGTTGACTGCAGGTGCCAGAGTACCATATTCACTGACACAGACAGAGGACCTATGTATACTTTACATACATTCTGGCTTGACTATCTCCTCCATTAGGGAGTATTTGACTACAAATAAAACTGACTATTGGGGAGAATTTAATTTGTTGTATTAGAATACCTGTATGCCAGTGTATGTGAATGCTAATGGAGACATAGTTATGGTGGCAGGCAGAACCTTAGCTTTGATATCTACCTTTTCAAATAGTGTTTCAAAACTCTTTCAGTGAGGCACCGTGGGTGTGTGTGTACTCAAAAAAAAATTTTGTTTGGGGGCGGGGATTTTATATACAGGAAAAACTCCAATTTTTAGAATGAACACCATATAAAGGCTTCAGATTGCAAAGTCAGGGTTTTTTAACCATGCATTTTGGATAAGAGATTGTGTTTATACAGTTTCTCTTCACCCATCTTTAACATGCGTCTCAGTCGGCTATAGCATGATGACGTGGTCAGGCTATCTCAGAAATATTTTATAAATATATGGCAGGCTTTCTACTGTAGTAATAAGTAACATTCATTTGAGTGATTTTTTTTTTTTTACTACATTTTATCACTTTGTTTCAGGAATATGAAAGCTAGCCACATTCTGATTTCAGGGGATGGTCTGGTTTCTCTGTCTGGCTTAAATCATCTCTACAGTTTAGTTAACAATGGACAGAGGTCAAAGGTTGTGTATGATTTTCCCCATTTTAGTACTTCAGTACTTCCTTGGCTGAGTCCTGAGCTACTAAGACAGGTCAGTATAAACCAGTTAATTTTGCCTTGAGTCTCTGGATATGGCTGTTTCCTTTTTTTAAAGTTTGTACTTAGTAGTTTCCTTTTTTTAAAGTTTGTGAAAGAGCCATAAAGGCGATATATTTGCAACTTCCAAACTAGATTGTGTACAACTTGTTTAGGAACCTTAAAATAAATTGTGGCTTTATGGTGGACCCACGTAGCTTAATGTCTTTACCTCTTGCCTGTTTGGTACAAAGGTTCTAAAGGACGTGATCTTAATGGACACATTTTTTTCCCATGGAAACCTGCAAATAATTGCATTGACTTAACTCTCTCTTCTGTACAAATATCAACTATGAAATCTATTAACAAGAGCTGTGTGCATTAAATCATTCTTACACTCAGAGGGCCCAATCTTATATAAGCAGCTCACCCACAACTTGTTGGCTATGGAATATTAGGATTGGGTCCTGAAACTGTATTATATCTACAGTATATTTGCATATGCATATTTTTGCAGTACATATTCAGTAGTTCCCAGTGTGTTGATATAATGCTTTTTCTCTCCCACAGGATTTGTATGGGTATAATGTGAAGTCTGACATTTACAGTGTGGGGATAACAGCATGTGAATTAGCCAATGGATATGTACCATTTCAGGATATACCTCGTGCAAAGGTAAAACATTAAATACTCCTAAATCCTTCTCAAAACTTCATTCACAGGACTATTTTTCTCTTACAGATACTGCCTAATAATAAAGTTACTACGAAATATATTAAAGGGTGGCACTTTTTCTTTTTTTTTTAAATTTAAAACATACATGCTGCTTCCTAGGGCAAAGGAGCTTCCAACTCCTGTTTTTTCTGAAAGGTCCTATTACAAAAACTCTGTCCCTGGATCCTGACCAGAGTACAGCCACTACCACAATTTTATGGGCCCTAGGCCAGTGTTTCTCAAATGCGACCACCATGGCTGCATGTGGCCACCAGGGGCTTTTCTTGCGGCTACAGCCTCCTGAGCTGTTATGTGGAGGGGAAGGGGGAACAAAGTCACGAGTGGCCCCTCCCTGTTGCTTCTGGATGCACCGTCTTGGTGTTGATTACTGGGGTGCCAGCAGGGGTTGAGCCCTGTCCCCCCTTTGGAAACACCTGGGGCACAGTGCTGGAGAACCAGGCAGCTGGTGAGTTCCCCACCTTCCCAGGGGCTGCTGGGCTCAGGCTTGGGGCTTCAGTCCTGGAGTGGCAGGGCAGTGGGGTAGCAGGTTCTGGCCACAGGGCTTCGTGCTCCAGCTCCCCACTGCCTCCCACCCACCCCCATTGTTCCTGGCCCCTGCTGTCTTCCCCGCCCACCCATCCAGAGCTTTATTTGTTCCGAGGCTTGACAGGTCTGAGTAAGTCTGTTGTGAAAAGCAATACTTGTATGTTTGTTAATATCACTTTTCACAACAGACTATCTAGGGAAAAAAATTATAATGATTTGGACATATATATGTGCATATTTATTTGTTTTTCCTAAAGCTAATTAAGTATTTTAGGAAAAAGTGTGAGAGTGGCCAACAGCAAGAGTTGGTGGCCGCACTCTGCGGACCCTTGCCCGAGGCACACACCTGTGTGACACACTTCTGAAAGAAGGAACCACCTGTCCAACTGCCTAGCCCCTCTGAGCACAATGATGACTCTTTGGATTCCCCCATACTTACACGCCCTTTTCCAGAAGCAGTTCACACACACTCACACATTTGCTCTTTTTCAATACTAAATCATACAAAGCCAAGATGAGTAGATCATACAAAACAAACATCTTAACTACAATGCCACTTTCTAGCTCACCCTTCCCCTGGGAGTCCTTAGGGACCATTGATATCCAGGAAGGCACGGTACAGGTTGAACCTCTCTAGTTTGGCACCCTCGGAACCTGACCAGTGCCGAACCAGAGAATTTGCCAAACCATGGGAGGTCAATATTGTAGTGAGCGAGTCTCTTTTTATTTTTATCTCGCTGAGGCAAATAAATGGAACGCTTGCAACACCACCTAGCCAAGGCTTACCGACTCTCTTCATAACAAAAGTGTTAGAGTAGTTACACAATTTTACTCTATCGACACAAGGAAATATGTAGATAAAGCATAAAAACATAAAATAATATGAAAAAGAAAGATGATAATACAGGTAAATCTATAATTTACTCACCTAAAATGCTGCCTGAATTCCGCTTCCAAAGTGATGTGACAAGAACTGCTAACTCAAATTACATTCGAGTTACATCTGGGGTCTCTGCTGTAGGTATATCTGGGGTAGATTAAGTGGAGATAACAGGATTTTCGACTGTAGAGTGCTGCTCCCCGCTGCGCGCCTTTAACCAATCTTCCAGCTTGTCTTGTCTTATGTATTTTGGTTTTTCTTTAATGAGTTTTTCTCATATCATGTAGAGCGACATGATCTCTTGCTCAGAAATGAAATGTCTTTGCTCCAGTCCTCCTATTAAATTTGTTGCCAACTGAATCCATTTATCTATAGCATTTTTTTCTGAACATCCTCATCATCTTCATCACCATCACCGGCTTCTTCGTTATCTTTGTTTTTTCCCTGCTGTACTATTTGCACAATTTCTTCATCCGTCATTTGAGTAGCAATTGGTGCATCTTTGTTGACTTCCATCCAGTCTAGTAAATTTTCCTCTCCCAAATCCCTGGCCAGCTCAACCACTACAGGGTGGGACATACCGCTGGCATAGTCCATTAACTCACTAACAATTTTTTGGTTTTCAGACACTTGAAATCCAGTGAACTCGGATTCGTCATTGACGTCAGGACTGTCCTCTAACATTAGGGTTGGCAACAATTTGTGCCATCCATTCTTCTGAGTAGATGGAGTTACTCTTTCCCAGGCTCTAGCTAGTGTCCAAATCATATCCTTGAGGTTAAATTCTTTCCTAAATGTTGTCAAACTCGTCCTATCATTAAGCGATACTAGCAATTGGTGCATAAACTCGGACCTGTACATATACTTCAGGGATCGTAAGGTACCCTGATCACAAGGCTGAATCAGTGAGGTACAGTTTGGGGGTAAATACAGTCCCACCACATTATCTTTGACAAGCAGCTCTGCGTTAGGGTGGTCAGAGCAATTGTTGAGAATCAGCACAATTTGGCACGTCGGATCCAGACCTACCGAGGTGCAATGGGCTCTTGCCTCCAGTACAAAATATTTCTCAAACCACTCGAGACATAGATTAGTCGTTATCCATCCCTTTTGTTGCCATGATATATCACTGGGAATTTTTTCACCCCTTTGAATGCCCTTGGGTTCATACTTTTCCCAATAACCATGAGCTTGCATTTGTGTGTGCCTGCTGCGTTGCTATAACCAAAGACAGTTATCCTGTTCTTTGACTCCTTCGTACCAGATGGTGGCCCCTTTGCATCAGTAGCCAATGGGTTTTTTTAGGCATACAGTGCCAATAAAGAGCAGTTTAATCGGCATTGTATACCCCCCCCCCCCCGCAGCGGATAACTTCTCATTTGCAACTAACTGTGCAAATTCGTCAACGTACTTAGCGGTAGCTTCCGTATCTGCACTTCTTTTTTCACCGCACACATGACATAGACTAATGCCATGCCAGTTTTTAAATTTCTGAAGCCATCCTTGCAAATAGTCACACTCATGCTGCTGGTTAAGTTCTTTGTGGAATATTTTTGCTTGTGCCATCATCATCTCACCTGAAATGCTAACACCTTTGTTCCTATGAAGCTTGAACCAATGTATAAGCGCACTAAATCACTGCTTTTCCCCTCCTTCAATGTCATACTTTTTTTTACTGTCACTTTCAGCAAAAAAATTAAGGATTTGTGTTACAGGGTGGGACTCACCCTTGTGGTGCCTCCCGCTGGTCGTCCAGGGAATTAGCATTTCCAGCCTCCGGAGCGCCCACTTGAGGCCAGTGACCTGCTTGCCACTGGGCCCGAGTCCCTCCTGGACCCCGGTGCCCCTTTCAGGCCGGGGTGCTGCCCCCTGGCAATACCCCCACAGATCTGGGTCTCCCTTCCCCGGGGAACCCCCACCCTCTATCCCCACCTCACCTCAGACTATGGCTACTGCCAGTCTCGATCTAGCCCCCGTTCACTGGGGCAGACTGCAGTGTAAATGCCTCTCATCACCGGCAAAGGGGGTTTGAACCTGCTGCCTCTGCCTACCCCCGGGCTGCACCCCTGTAACCCCAGTACCTATTTGGCCTTAGACAAGGCCTGCAGCCTGGGGGTTTTCCAGGCAGGAGCTCCCCGGCTCCCTTGCCCTATTCCCCAGCACTGCTCTACTCCGGTACCTGCCAAGTCCTCCCCTCTCTACTGCTAGAAAGGGACTCTCTGTGTGCTCCTGGCTCACTGCCCTCTTATAAGGGCCAGCTGGGCCCTGATTGGGGCGTGGCCACATCTGTAGCTGGTTCCCCAATCGGTCAAGGCTTGCTGCTTTTCCTAGCAGCAGCTGTCTCCCAGGGCTGATTTCAAGCCCTTCAGGGCAGGAGCAGGTGACCACCCCGCTACAATTTGATTCTTTTGTTTCTTCAAATCATACACTGTAGATGGCCTTATATTGTAAAACTCACACAAGGCACATACCAATGTGCCCTTTTACAATTTCTGCAGCAATTCCACCTTTTGCTGTATGGATATTGGCACATGCTTACGCTTAGCAGCATTACCAACACTTCCACTGCTTGCTGGTCTCTTAGAAGATATATTTAGGGGTCAATGAGAGCTAAATAACAGCACAGAACATTGAGAGCCAGGACTGGCAGGACTTTGCTGGATCGCAGGAAACTTGGCCCCACCCACGATAAGCAGACATCTGGCTAACTAAAATCATGCCAGACCCCAGATGTTGCCGGACCAGAGAGTGCAGGACTAGAGATGTTCAACCTGTATCCCTTGCCTCGTACAGGGGGTTACATGGTGGGTGATCTCTCCCACAGCTTCTGTGACCTTGCTCTCTCCTGTCCAAGGCTTCCTTTTCTTGTCTGGTTTGATTTTAAACACCACACCCTGCTCCTTGGTTCTGTCTTTTGGGTAAGTTTCCACTACTCCTATCTACCCCCTCTCTTCAGGGAGTTAGGCTCAAACTGGTTTTCTTAAGGATGCAGCTGCTTTGCATCATAATCTTTGTTGGGTTTAAGTACTGTGGTTAACCTCAGGTATTTCCCACTGTCCTGTTTGCTGTGAAGTTGCTATAGAACCTGTCAGAAGTGGTAGATCCACATAGAGGAACTCAGTTTTTCATAATATCAATCAGATTTCATAAGTTGTACAAACATACTGCCAATTCATCACAGCCTCTAGAGGCTAATACAGCCACTGGACTCTTATACTGTCTTTCCCTTCTACCAGATGCTGCTGCATAAGCTGAAAGGTCCCACTTATTGTCCCTGGGATATAAATACCTTCCCATGTGGGGAATCCAGAATGAAGAATTCACAGTCAGGTGTGGATTCTGGAATTGGTGAAAGCATGACGCACACAATGACTAGTGAGAGATTGCAAACTCCCTCCTCAAAAACATTTTCCCCTGCTTTTCACAACTTGGTAGAACTCTGTTTGCAACAGGACCCCGAGAAAAGGTAACTTACTTCTGAACACTAATATTCACTGTCACTTTAACATAAGATATAGCATAATCTAAGGTGAACTTGGAATCTACTAAGTCGTATACAACTGACAAATTCAATGTTAAATTGAAGTGCGTCTGGGTTTCTTTTCACAACACTAAATTATCAAAGTGCCAGGCCAACATTGTCTTGGTCTGAAGAATGATCTTCGACATGCTTTTAAAATCCTATTTCATCACTGATTTTGAAGCTTTCTTGGATAATGGATTGCTTGTTTGTAAAAACATGTTTGAAAAACCACAGTTTGGCAAGGAGACTCAGGAAGGGCTAGTTCCAGAAACTAGTTTAAACTGTTCAATTCTGCTAGATTTCAACAGGATGATTTATCCCTCTAACACTTTATGGCTACTATGGAGGCTGAGAATTGAATGTACTGGATCAATGAACTCACTGCCTCTAGTAATGCCCTCACAGTAAAGTTGAGGCACAGAATGAAGGAAGCTTGTGCTGCCTCTGTTCAGGCTGCACTTGTTCAGTGGACAAATAACCCTAGGGCCTAGAGTGCATGGTCAATCTGGCATCTTCCACAAACACCAACGCTTACTTTCAAAACATAATCTTGTGTTTTCCATTTTATGATCCAGGCCATCAGCAAGCAGTTTGCTGTCACACACTTTCTTCAAACAGGTGAGTCTACTAAATTCTTACTGTTGAGATGAGTTAACTGCAGCCTAAGTAAATGGCAAAATATTAAAAAGTTGGGTAAAGTAAAAGCAGTTGTAAAGTAAAATCACCCTCTAACAGCCAGGATGCTGCAGACAGCTCTTTTACAAAATGTCATATCATCTAGAATCTTGTGCAATGCGTAACACAGCAATTGTGTCCTCTGTTAAATGAAATTTGAAAGCTTATTTAAAGGATTAAAATTTATTGAAGTGAGCTTAACCATTGAGATATTTTGGTTGAAAAACCACATTTTAAGTCAAGCTAATCATTTAACTTGACTACAAATTTACAGACATTTGTGGTCAATCTACTCTGGAGTGACAAAGCTAGTCTCAAACTCTGCCTTCTCCAGCATTATAGCACACAAGGCTGCTGCTATACCCCTTCATGCACTTTTAGTAAAGATGTACACAGTGTTTCAGTGGACTTGTACGTACAGCACTATTTTATCCTGTTTGGTTTATTCCCGCAGGTAAAAGAACAAACAAGGAGTTCCTTACTTTCACTGTTGCCACCTCCTATCCAACACAATAGACCACAATTCTTGCCACTGCCCTCAAGAGCAAGCAGGCCTGAGTTTGGGTGTTTTTACCCAAATGAAAGAGACATAGAGTGGGACTTTTAAAACAATGACAAACCATCATACCTCCCCCATGCTTCAAAGAAGGAAAATGTGATTTCTACTTGCTGCTTTTCTCTGTATTAGTTTAAATACAAATACAAGAGCTATACTTGAACATCTGTGGTGTGTACATGATTTAAAGCTGGCACTGTAAAAATGCAGTAGGCCTCACTTTCCTAACCCCAGGGAAAAAGTTAATCTTAAGAATATTGATGCTTTTTATCCTTCTCTTCTTCCTACCCCTTTGGACTTAATCCCTTGGCAGAAGGCTCCTTCTATAGCCTTATCTGGTATTGTACTTATTCATAGAACTTCTACTTGAAGACTACTGCAATCAAATGCCATCCTGAATTTCCAAGTACTGCGTCACTACGTTCAGGTTCATATCGAGCCTCTCTGTGGCCTTCAACTGGACTGTTAACCCCAGTATCGTGGTACCAGCTCTTTTACTGCATTGCCCTCAAAGGCATTTTTGGCCTTTATAAATGATTTTATTAAATCTATTTCTATATGTGCAAATGCCAGAGCTCATGCCTCTCCTCACCTGAACTGCTTTTTGTTCCACTGACACATGATAGATATCTTACGTTTTAAGACTCTATCCTCTAGGTTTTATATAACCAGCCAGAGTCATTTGGGCAGCTTAATACTGTTGTCTAGAGAAGTCTATACATTTTGCAACTAACATTCACTCTTCGAGAGTAGCAATAGTCTTTAATAGCATCTGCCTAAATACAGAATTGTACTTTGGATACCTCACTCTCTGCTTTATTGCATCACACTTCCAATTACCAAAGGAGTTACCGTAATGCAGAGTTGGTGCTTCTGAAATATCCCTTTAGTGTATGTTAATAACTAAAGAATATATAACTAGGTAAAAGTAAGTTACTTATAATGTAGTATTAAGGGCTTATAAATCGTTTCACCCGAACTGTGCAAATTTTCTTTAAAGAACTTGCCATTCTACCACATTGCAGAAGCACAAGCTAATGCGTGCCGGGGCCATTGTTGTGTACCACTATTATTGCTGGCTATGACCTAGTAACCCTGAGCCTCTTTCAAATTTGGGTCTTCCAGTTTAACACACAGGACAGATTCAGTCCTGGCAGAAGAGAAGATACAACATCCATTTGCCAGCGTCTGAAGAAGATCTCAGTGTTTTGGATTATTTTAAGACATGGTAGGGTGGGAGAGACAATTTTTGAAGTCTACATCACCCATTAGTATGCACATTCAAAATAGACCACTGTATGCAGAACAGAAATAAGCAAGACTATTTTAAAAAAAACCCCACCAACTTACCTTTAAGTCATGGTTTAGCCAAGTTTTTAATCCCAGAAATACAAGACTATTAAACCTGCTTCCTGACTAAAATAAAAAAGTATATAATTTTAATTTATAATCTTAGCCATCAAGTGAACATGTTGAAGTGTAATAAGAGAATGGGCTTATCCTGCTATTAGTCAAAAATCTCTCTCTCTGGTTTTGAGGGCTTTATTTTTAATTGTGGTATATCATTTACATAGATCATTTGTAAATACTAGTACAATACTTGTAAAATATAGGTCAAACCTAACTAAATTGTAACATTTCAAAATAGGTGCACAGATTTATGTATTAAAAACATCTGTACTTCAATTACATACCTCTTAAAGAAGTAACTGACTGATAGTGTTATTTTAGAAAACAAGGAACAACTGAAATTACTGCAGCTATTTAAATATTTGACAAACTATACTATGCTAACCTGTGTAAGTCTTCCATTGGAGAAAGAGTACCATGCATCATTAACTGGAATCAAATGTTGTCCATAATTACAGGCCTAAACTGAGTTATGCATCCTAATTGCTACAAAGGTGTTACTTGCTATTTCAGTTTCTGTACGTGGAAAATGAGTAATTAAAATATCTAAGAAAGTTACTGAATAAAATAACTTCTATAACCTTCAAAATGAAAAATCTTTATTCAAAAAATGTTAAAATTGAGTACCAATAATTTATTTGCTTCGTATTTCTAAAACCAAAGCCATGAAAAAACATGAGTCTGTCCATCTAATTATTCTTATAAAGTATTAGAAGTACTATTTCATCACAACACCGTGACCTGGAGGGAGGAAGTACTGAATGCATTTTGGTTATCTAAATTTTGGTATCTAAATGATAATGTTAAGTGGGAAATATCACTTAAATACATTGACAGACTATTTTGGTTAAGTACTATGATAGCAAAAGTGTATAATCATATCATTTTCCATGTTCCAACTACCAGACTTTGGTAACAGAGATCAAGGAAGTAAAACTTTGGTATATTCTGGCAGCCTGAGCCCACTCCTGTTGTTCTGATTGAACAAGCCTTCCTATACAACTGGTGTTTAAAGAAATCCTAGATACATCTTGACTATATATTTGAAATTACTGGCTGCCGAATTGTATCCTTTCCCTATTCCAAACTGTCATGAATGCTTAAAAGCAGAATAAAGCCCACTCAATACTTGCCTGCAGACCATTTGTTTGTTTAGTTTGCCTACATCAATTATTTAGGTAGTAAATGAAGGGACTAGAGGCAAACAAGTGAAAGTTCCAGACATTTGATGAGTTCTTTTAATTCCACATTTTTGGGCCTAAATTTTCAAGGTTGAATAGTGATTTTGGGTGTCTAACTGGAGACACCTCACAAGGACCCTTTTGGGCAGATAAAAGTTCTATACGCTCACAAAGTCCTTACAAGTGTTTGTAATATTGGACACAAGGGCTTCCTGGATAAATACATTAACTAGATTAAGGTGATTCGGTACTACTCCACTCTGCAGGAAGAAACAGTTTGTACTCCCACTTAATTTACACAGAGGAACAAGACAAAGCTGCTATTGCAACCCCTTTTTGTACTAGCAATCAACACTCAAACAGAAAATGTCAGGAACTAAAATAGCAAGGTATCACAGTAGGAACCGTCTCAGACAAATATACTATAGAAAAACAGAGGTTTTTATGCACAAAGCTGTTAAACAATTATTACAGAGGACAGATCACAGGAATGAATAACAATTTACAACAAAAAATAATTTGGAGTATTAAAGTTAATCTGAGGTCACAAGTTCTATTTATTTAATTGTAGCCAATTAAATTGAGGGCACTACCATCGATAAGCACTTCCACCCAGAAGGAAGACTACTTCCAAAGAGTAATTAAATAAAAACAACACAACACTCTTGATGGTGGGGAGAAAGCATTCAGAAGCCTTTGAATGGCTTCTACCACTGTTCTTGGGTATTATCATTCTCCACTCCAAAATACACAGCTTTACAAACTATAAAATTCTCAGTATAACACCACCCCCAAAAGATGGCATACTCTTCCATCTGATGCTACTGGAGAGGGGTGGAAACAAAAAATCTATCTAGTACTAAGGCTGCTCTTCCTCTTCCAATAGCTGCTTTTAAGCTATCAAGTGGCCTTTTTGAAGATCTCAATTAAGGTGACTCCATATTTCTCTGGAATATCAAAAATCCTTGAACAATTACAAATCCAGCAATAAAAGAAATCAAATAAGGTTTATACCTCCTCATACACATTTTCTAAACTACTACAGTACTAAACAGCACTACTACAATACAATACATTAGATTGGCTAACTAACCTTCCAAAAAACAGCTGAAGTCTAGCTCTGTAAACTCTCTGGTTGACAGATACCCAACTACTTCTGATCCTTTGTGAATAAGAATGAGAACAAATGCAAATTCAAACAAAACGCACACACTACGCCTATCCATAGTGAGACAGATCTCAGATGGACACACAATAACAGCTGTATTGTGAAACTAAGTTATTTGAAGTGACGGATTTCAGCTCAGGATTTAGAAAAGGATGGATAAATGGATAAATATAGTTGCAACATAGAACATCCTGTTTGTATAATCACCACTCACATATTTCACTCAGCTGACACCATAATTCAATCTATCCAGAATATTGGGGTGAGAGAGGAAAGGGTACTCATCAGTAGATCTACAGGGAACCTCCCACCTCCATTCCCAAATTACAAAAATTGATCCTACTATACATATTGCCTGCCACAAAATAAAAATGTGATTCCTATGTGATGTCACATAACCTTGAAAACCAAAATGTTTTCAATACTTGAGTAACTCACTTGAAGTCTTAGGGATAGGGTTCTACAGGGTTTTCATGTGTCTCTAATAATTTTCCAAGTTTTGATCCAATTTACCAATAAACCAACTGAATTAATGATGGCTTGACCACATTCAAGAGCTAAATGCTCAGAAAGCTAATATAGTTAAATGAACAGGTATTCAACAACATAATTCTGTTTGCAACCTGTTCTTTTTAACAATTTGAAAGGCACATTTGGGTACCAAAATCATTACCTATGTTTGTTTGTTTGTTTGTTCATTCATACATAGTTCTGATGCTAAAACATATATTACCTATCCACATTTCACTGGAGGTTCCTGAATAAATGCCATATTGGTACATCCAAATTTTAGTTGTGACATTTTATTTTTAATGGGATGCTGGAGACCACTAGTACAACTAAAGCATCTGGAAAAAAGTCCTGGCCCCACTGACTTCAATAGAGCCAGAATTTCATACCCAAAGTTTTAGGTGGTTGGGCAAAAGCAGAGTTGCTAATAATAAAGAAATAGGAGAAGGCAAAATAACTGAGGAAGGAGGAAAAGGTTGTCAAAGACCAGAGAGCAGCAAATCTCTAGGAAATAACTTTGACAAAGCTGTGAAAATACTCCCTGCCTCCACTCCCCTCGTGGTTATCACTACAGTAAAACATTCATTTGAAAATACAGACATAAAATCTTTAAAATTAAAAGTTCTCAAGGTTTTTCTTTTCTATATGTACATATTTCTGAAATGTAATACAGACACTTGGTATTCTGTACACCTGACTGATACTAGGAATACAGAGGGGAACAGTGGAGCACCCATAGGGATAAAACATCTCAAAGAACTCAAGTTACTGTACAGGTAAGTAACCTCTCCTCCTTTTATGAGTATATGTCCCTATGGGTGCACCACTGTAGAAGACTATGGAGCAGTAACTCAAATGGAGGTGGGTGCTGAGGAGGAAAATCCAAGACAGATTGGAGGACTGTGTCACCAAATGCATCAGCTCTGGAAGCAGGTACGATAGAGTACTGCTTGTCAAATGTATGGAGGAAGGACCAAGTTGCAGTCCTGCAGATTTCTGCTATGGAACATCTTTCAGAAGGTCTAGAGATGTTGACCAAGCCCTTGTGGACTGTACTCTCACTCTGTGAGGAGGCTGTATTCCTACAGGCTCATACCATGTTAAGATGCAACCTAAGACCCACTTCGATAATCTTTTCATGGAAATGAGCTGCCCTTTCATCCTTTCAGCAAAGGATAGAAAGAATATGGGAGAGGTCCTAAAGGCCTTGGTTCTAAGTAGAAGTTGAGAGCCCTTCTGACCTGAGGCTTTGGATAGAACTCTGGTAGATGGATTTCCTGATTAATACAGTATTATGAAGAAACCTTAAGGAGGAAACAAGGATAGGGACATAATGTGACCTTGTCTCTGTAGAATGTAGTGAATGGTGGGTCTGTCATGAGCACACTGAGTTCGCCCACCCATCTAGTGAAGTGATAGTTATAAGGAATGAGAGAAAGGTGGCAGAGAGAACAGGTAGCCAATTGTTCAAAGAGAGGTTTCCTTAAGGAACTGAGAATTGAATTAAGGTCCCATGGGGGAGCAAGGAATCTGGTAGTGGTAGGATGGGCTAAAACTCAGAAGTTCTCAATAGGCGAGAGGAAGGCTTTAACAGCTGCTATGTGTACTCTGCTGAGCTCATTGACAGACCCTGTGTCTTTAAGTCCAACTGGTAGTCTAGGATCTTGGACATCAGAACTTCTGAGGCTGGAAAAGAGTGGCAAGAACATCAGGAATGACAATGTTTCCTCTTCTACAAGTCAGTTTTGCAAGTAGTAGGTTTCCTGATAGATAAGAGGACTGACTGGACATCATCCTGTGATGCTACACCCCATATTCTTCAGAGAAATATTGTTATAATATAAATAAGGCATAACTAAGATATGTTTTATGCAAGATGGGTCTGTTTGGGGACTACACAGCCCATAGCCACATCTGAAGGCATCTGAGGCGTGGTCTTCTGTGAGGTGTCACAAACATGGACACCACATGGAGCGTAGGAGTTGTAGGCAGGTCCTTGCAGTTGTTTGAGGGCTGTGCTGTAGTGTAGAGATTAGACTGGACATAGTGGAGATTCTCTTCTTGGGCAGGTAGGCTCTGGTCATTAGGAAGTCTAGAGTGACTATGATCAAGTTTGTTCTCTTGAGTGGAGTCAGTGTAGGCTTCTTCAGACTGATACAAAGACCCAGGGACTGAAATAGGGCTAGTGCCTTGGAGGTTGCTGACTGATTGAACCTTGAGGAGCCAGTTGTCTAAGTATGGGAATACTGTGATGCCTCACTGACGTAGGTGGGATGCTACTGCTTTGTGAAGATCCTCAGGGCCATGGAGAGCCTGAAGGAGAGGACTAAATACTGGTATTGATCTGAGCCCATTATGAAATGTAAGAGGGGTGGAGAGCTACATGAAAGTAGGCATCCTGGAGGTCAAGGCTGATGAACCAGTCCCCTGGATCTAGAGATGGAATTATGGTGGTTGGCATCACCATCCTTAAGTGCTGTGAAAAGACATAGACATCTAAGATCGAGGATTGGTCTCTATCCTCCACCCCTTTTAGAGACTAGGAAATAGTTGGAATAGACCCCTTTTCTGACAAACTCAGTGGGAACCAGCTTGATCACCCCCAAGAGCAGGAGAGATTGGACCTCCTGCTTTAAGAGCTTGTCGTGAGAGAGGTTCCTGCAGAGGAACAGGAAGGGAGGGATAGAATGTTAAGTGGATGGAATAGCCCATGTTGACCACCTCTAGCATCCATTTGTCTGAGATGATGTGCTTCCAGGCAGGCAAGAAGTGGGATAGTCCATCTCAAAAAGCGGGATGGATAGTAGAACTGTACAGCAGATGATCCAGGGGAAAAGGTTGCTCAATGCTCTTGACCAAGCTGTCAAAACTCTTACAAGAAGGTGCATAATGAGTCATTGTAAATGGGACAGTTCATCCAAATCAGACTCTGGAAAGTGAAAGAAGTCTAGAATAGTCTATGGTCATAGCCTGAGTCCGTGCCAGAACCAGGAATGTGGATTGATGCCAAAGAGTTGACGCGTGTAGTACTAGAGAGGCCCAGTGGGCAGCTTCTCTGACCTTGGAGCTGTAGAAAGGTGACTGTATCAGAGTGTCATATGTGCTGAGAGATGGCATATGGTACTGAGGCAGGAGCCACCCTGTGAATGGAAGACTTTTCTGCACACAATTTATGTGGTACTGGTGCCTGGGTACCAATTTCAGTCAGACCCTCTGTGGTACCCCTTAAGGGACACAAGGTCTACCGGCAAT